AGGTTTGGATGTAATGCCACCGCCGGGCCGGGCCATCCCGTCCCGCCTCGGCCCGGCGTCCTCCTTCCCGGAGGCGTGGGAGTGCACGTGACGTGACGTATGGTTGAGTGGGGGGCAGAATTAGACACGGCGCTGAAAAATCACCGTCAGTTTCGGCACCCTCCCGGACGGGTATAGGGGATCGTCCAGAAAGTACGTCCGTCATTCGCCGTTACGGTTAAGTTCCTACCAAGTTCAGCCCGTGCACGCTCTCATAGCGCCTGATAGGTATGCAACATAATTGCTTCGGTGCATGCGTGTATTGCGGGTTGGCCTACATTGAGCCTCGCAGGCGCCAAGCTGCCGTAAGTTGTCGAATAAATCTGAGAAAAACGGACGTACTTTCTGGATGATCCCCAGTTCGCCGGGGGTAGGTAGTAATAGAAGGTGTAGCGCTGGAACCTCGTCAATGGCCATGTGCCTCTGGCGGATGAGTTTTTGTTTCTAATGCAAGCCTGTATCTTTATGATATAGATTTAGGCATGCGTCAACGGAAGTGTTTGAAAATGCTGTCTGAAAAATGAACAATGTCTTTGGTAGTCGACCGAAGCGATGCCCATCTTCAGTTTGCGTCTGACGTCCTGTCGAGCGTCGAGCTCTTATCCGAACGGCCCCCCTCTGGGAAGACCTCTGACGAACAAGTGCGTGTCTATAAAAGTGTCCCTCGAGGCCACAGGAGGGATGCTCTGAGGGTTGCACCGTCACGTTGGTGACCCGGAGCCTTGGCCTGACACGGTGCTTGAGCCGTGGGAGCATACGGGCAAATAGTAAGATCCGCACCGCATCGCGCACTCGGGGGCGCAGAGGAGGAGCCCGCGGAGGAAAATGTTGAAACGTCCAAATCAAACACGAAAGCTCGGTCGAGACAATGTTCTAAAGGAACCTGTTCCATTCGGTTCCATTAGGCACGGCCGATGCGGTTCCAGAGAAACCCCGCCCAAATCTCGTTACGATATGGCCCGGGCGTCTCGTCTTCCCCCGCCGCTGCCGCCGCGCGGCCCGGCCCGGCCCAGGACGAGGACGAGTTACTGCGAGGGGCCCGCCGAGGCCCGCCGAGGCTACGACGACGGCCCGGGCGATGCGCTCCTTTCAATCGCATGATAATTGCGGACTCCTTCCGTGTCGTGGCGCGGCGTGGCGCGCTGTGGCACCCGGCCCACAGGAGGGACCTTCTCTAGCTCTGACCCCCACGAAAGGGCCGCTCGCAGGTCTGGTGGCGGGGGGGGCTGTCAGGGCGGATACCTCCGGGCCGATGAGTTGTTTGTGCCTCGCGTTGCGTAAGTTCACAATCTCTTTTATACTTTGTTATTACACTCCCCGATGACCCCTGGCCGGGCCGCCTGGACGCCGCCGCCGCCTCTGGCCGGACCTGCGGGGGCCGCTGCACACCTCTATAGTAGTAGGGCTTCTCTATCTATGTCGCACTCACTCTTCCTTTCGTTCCCCAGTCGCTCATTGTCTATCTCGCTCGCTCGAAGCGGTGCGGCAGTGCGGCTGCGCGGCGCTCGTGTGGGACGCATATATTGAATTTCTCATCTTAATCTCCGAGCGGCGCCTCCTCCCCACACACTAGCTGTTGCACGGGGCGGCGAGGTGCAGCGTTGTTGCTCGGAGGGCTGGGAGAAGATACGGGGGTCTGCGAGCGGGCAGCGTCCGAGAGAGGACCCGGGTGCATGGTGCCGCCCGTGGCCTGCTGGGCATCGTGGCAAGGCGTGGCGAGGCGGGGCGTGGCGGGGCGTGGCGGGGCGTGGCGGGGCTGTGCGTACGTTTAGTTGTTTGGTTGGGAAACGTAATGCTAATGCTGCCCCGGACTTGGCGTGAAGGGGACTCCCTTCACTCCTATGTCTCCCCCTCCCCTCTCTCCTCCCCTCGTCGCCCGCACACCTCTGATCCTCTACCTACATGCCGGCTTCTTCTTTTGTTCCTTTCCAAAGAGCATTATCGTTAATCGTGTTTCTAAATCTCAACCTGCCCGCGATGAGGAAATTTTGGCACTTGAGTGAAGTGCATCGCAGAGAGATCCTGTTGTTGATGTGCGCTCGAGTCCCGCGTGTGTGAAGGGAAGAGAGAGAGAGATGGAGAGAGATTGAGAGAGATGAA